TTTAGGACACCAATAAGGCTTTTATAAAGATTTTTTTATGATCTAAATTCCAGCATGTGACCTTCATATTGTAGAAAGACTATATGACGTCAACATCAAGAACCTATTAATATATTTAAGCATGTATTTTTGGGTGAGGGCGATACAGTGAGCTCTGGACATAGTTTTTTTTTAAGGTTGATTTTAAAATTAAACCACTTTAGATTTCTGCATATTTGGGATCTTGGATAACATCCCAAAGCAAGCTCCTGAGTGACTGGTTTGTAGGCTCCCAAGATGTACAGGTGATGCCAGTCCTGGGAAAAAAGTGGGCCATTATATGCTGCTGTGTAAAACTAGCGTCTATCTTTACTTTCCTTTTAATAAGATTAGTCTTGCTTTCCCTCTGCTCTTTCTATGGCTGTCTAGTGGCCACCTCTTTACTCTCGTGCTAATGTGATTAGCTGGGCATGCAGACCATACTGGCAGCTACTGTCACAAAGATCTCTTCGTACTTGAGTGCACCTCGTTCCTGAATGCAGTCTTGCGTTGGTAGTCACAGGGGGCATTGTTAACCTGAAGATTCAAACAGAAAGGGATATTTATAACCGCCCCCCAAAAAAACCTGGTTCAGGGAGACATTTTGGAGAGGAACTGGACCGTAGACAGATGTGTCTCCTATTGCACATGCTGGGGGAACATTTGCTTCTTCTGCAAACTAAAGGTACTAAAGACAAATACAGATACATATTACTGAAGATATTTCACCCCCATCTTGAGCACATCTACATGGAGGTAAATCCTGCTGATTTAAAGAGAGTGTGGTTAGGTAATAAAAACATTCCAGGAACTCAGCAAGCTTTCATACTCTTTAGCAGACTAGATATGGGAAGGCTTTATTTTGTGAACTGAGTAGCACTGGCTATAAAAAGTAGCCAATGCTACTTAGTTCAAAAAATAAACCTCTTTCCTTTCCTCCCCATAGTTACTGCCATAGAAGGCAATAATTAATTATTTCTCATTGTTTTGCTTGTCATTTTGGGAATACACAAAGGTCAGGTGATAATCAGGTGCTTTCTCTTCTCTGCCCAAAGAAACTCTCTCCAAGTAATGTCTCACTCCTGTAAATGTCCACTCCCTGGCTTCCACGGACAGTCCCGGTGAACCAGCTAACTGCAAAAGCATCTGATTTAAATTTAACATTGGGGGGTTGTGGGAGGAAAATTCAATGGAAAAACAATTTTTTTAAAAAACCCAAAGTTTTATTTCATTAGGCAGAATAGGCAAGAATGCATCTATGTAAAGAGTGATTTTTTAAAAAATGTGGGGTGCATTTTACTTTAATCTCTGAAAATACAAATATTTTCATATCGCTTATCAAAGGCTAATTTTGTGACAATTAATTTGGTTTTCCCTTTAGCTACTGCAACCATGTCTAGTGAAGAAACGGGGAGCAAAGGAGAACAGCATCTTTAAAATTGGGGTGACTGTAAAGTGGGAATTTCCATTGGCGAGAGCTTTGGGGAAATGTGGTTATCTAGCTTGACTCACTGTAGTTGGAGGCTGTGTGTTCTTGCCCGTTTGTGGGTTATACATTCATATTTCTATTTAGGGCAAATAGTAAGCTGGTTATTTATTTATTTCATTAGTTCTGTTACACCTTGCATTTTCTCCTGTTAAGCTCATTGCAGTGCATGTGGCCCTCTCAAAGAGAGCAATTGATTGGATGCATGCTACAACCTGGATCACACAAGCCTTGGTCCAATATGTTAAGCAGTACACTACATTGGATGTTGGAAAACTGCCAGGTTGCAAATTCTAACCCCATCTGTGCTAAAACAGATAGTAAGAAGTAACAGTGGCAGCCTGTTGAAATGTTGCTCCTTTAACCTTCCTTCTGTCCACTTCTTACAGCACATACAAATCCCTCACCAGGAATTCAGTTTTCTTCATATTTGCTAAACCTGGCCTATGTGGTTTCCATGAGGTGTTGCCAGTTTCACCAACTGACAAAGAAAACAGTGTGGTGTTTTTTTTTAATGTACAGAGCAGGCAAAGTGGGAGCTTATTTCATATATTGACTATTTACTTAAGGAAATAAAACATCCAGGTTGAAGAATGCCATACTTTTCAGCCAGGAAGAGATAGGGCTGAAGAACAGGCAGGCCCTTGTGAGCTGTGACACGGGAATAAAGCAGAGGGTGAGCTTGGCTCCTACCACACACAGAGGGACAAATCAGGCCTGATGATTCCATGGGGGGTTTTGTGAGTCTTTTAGGGAGTGCTGAAATTTGTTTTTTAGTCTAGTAATTCACATTAGAGGAGGCCGATTCATGCAGTGCAGATTTGCTGAATCAACTCCTATGAAAGTTCCATTGGCTCAAATAAGCCTACTCTAGTTGTGAGTTATTACACTAAAGTAGGCCCATCAGAATCAATCTAGTGTACAGAGAAGTTGCATCACCACACCCCCACTCACACAATGGGCCTCCTCTAGGGTGACTAAGCAACAGGATTTCAACCAATATGTCAAGGGGAAAATGCCTTGTAACTCTCATACATCCCTGCACCAGCAAACAAAGTTTCAATTGCAGTTATACGTTACCTAGATTACTCTAGCTGTCGCGCATTTTCTTTGCCACTCCCCCTCCTTCGAGGGTGGGCACCAGCTTTGAAGGGGCATGTGGTCTGCTCTTTAGAGGACAGTCCTCTGTTTGAAGGACTGAACTAAGTTTGACAAGGCACATAACTGACCTGGGCACTGTCTTCCTCACTCTGAAATATTGTGTCTTCTAGAAAGAAAAGAAGCAAAGGATTCTGCTTCATTTTCTGTTTATCTCTTTCTCTTTTAGAACTAATCAAAAAGTTCCAACTAAGTAGGACTTAAGAATACAATGTGTGTGCACATGCATGCCAGCTACATCCAGATGGGTGGCTCTAAAAATGCTCTAGAGCAGAATTCTTTGCTTATTTCAAGGCGCAACAGGTACATCTGGTCAGTCATAAACCAAAATGGCTTTCATGGGTAGCAGTCCATTCAGCACCAGGACACTTTATAAACTGAACTGGCAGGGAAGAGGGGCAGAGTAATGCAT